GGTGGGAGCCCACAGGGCCAGCTGTGGGGGGCGGGGGCTGAGCTTCAGGAGTTCAGGGCAGCCGGGGCAGCGCCGCACGGCCCCACTTCACAGAAAAGGGAGGAAGGCAGGGGAGGGACAGAGCCAGGCAGACAGACAGAGGTCTCTTTTGGTAGAAAACCAGGCTTGGTATGCTTGTAATCCTGGCACTCAGGAGGCTGATGCAGGAGGATTGGGAGATCAAGGCCAGCGAGACCCTATTACAAAAAACTAACAACAAAAAAAATCAGAGGAAAAACAATTCCTCCCTCGAGTCCAGGCGTGTTTGCCCCATGTTCCCTTTGCCCAAGTGGCTCTTCCCTCTCTCTGGGCTGGAGACTTCTCAGCACTGAGGCACTCAACGTGGTGATGGTGAACCTTTTGGAGCTTCCAGTGACACAGAGAGCCTGCTGCGGCCCGGTGCCCCGGCTGCGAGCATCCTCTTAGTTCCTTGGGGATTGGTGGCTCTCCATTGTTGCTTGTTTCCTGTCTCCCACCATGAGAGTCTGGGCGCCACGACATCAGAATTGGGTTTATTCTGCTGTTCTACTGTCCCCCAGCACAGGGTACAGGAGGTACTTGGAAAAATATTTATGGAACAAGCCAGGTATGGTGGTGGATGCTTGTAGTCTCAGCATGCTGGGAGGCTGAAGCAGGAAGATTCCAATTTGAAACCACCCTGGATAACTTAGTGAGACCCTGTCTCTAAATAACAATAAAAAGGCTATAATCTCAGCACGGGGAGGCTGAGACAGGAGGATCACACAAATTTGATGCCAGCCTGGTGCGGAATGGTTACTGGCCTTGTTCCTAAGAAAGTAAAGTTAAATTGAAAAAATGGCAATCTACCTCAGCCTCTCCGGTGCCTGGCTCAAAAAATGATAATTTTAGGCTGGCCGTGGTGGCGCATGCCTATAATCTCAGCACTTGGGAGGCTGAGGCAGGAGGATGTCACAAGTTGAAGGCCAGTTTGGGCTGCATAGTGAGTTCAAGACCAGCCTGAACTCCATGGCAAGACTGCCTCAAAAAAAGAAAAAAAAAAAAGTTGTGAGTCCTGCCCTGCTTCCACCTCCAAGGAATATTCCTGGTTTCCACTGATTTCTCACCCTCCTGCCAAAGATAATCCACATGGGGACCTGTAGTCACATGAGGCACCACTCTTTCAGCTCCTTCATAAATTCGGACTCACAAACTGAGGTCCTAAAATCAGTGAGAGCTAGCACGGGCATGACCTGGGGACAGGGAAGACCCAAGGTCTCCGTGGAAACCGTCTCACACACACAGGGCGCTGCCGGAAGGGCAGGCGCAAGGCAAGGCAGGGAAACTCCACGGGAGGAAAAGGGGTCTCGAGGCTGCGGAGTGCTCTGGACTCTGTACACTGAAGGCCAAATTACTGCTCCAGAACTGTTACTACTCAGGGTGGGGAGGGAGTGAGCAGGAGGAAGGGCCAGGAGAGAAGGAGTGCAGAGGGAACAAGGACCAGCCCGGCGTGGGGGCACAAGTCTGTAATCCGGTGTTGGGAGGCTGAGGCAGGAGGACTGTCACAAGGGCAAAGCCAGCCTGGGCTACAAACAGTAATTGCTGTCATCATGGAATCTGTTCTCCCTGTGCCAAGCCCTGTGGGAGGAGCCATCATGCATTAATTTAAGCCTTATAACAACCCTATAAAGCAGATCCTACTATCTCCACTTACATGAAAATTGCATTTACATTGTACAGAGAAGAAACCCAGCATTTTTTTTTGAGACAGGGTCTTACTATGCAGTTCAAGCTGGTCCTGAATTCACTTTGTAGCCCAGGCTGTCCTTGAACTTGCAGCAATCCTCCTGCCTCAGCCTTCCTAGTGCTGGGATCACAGGCGTGCACCACCAAAGTGGGCTGAAACCAAATCTTAGAGAAGTTAAGTAACTGGCCCAGCAACTGAACCCAGATTTCAAATAAAATCAGACTGGCCTTGAACTCACTATGCAGCCCAAACTTTTCTGTTAAGCCCCATAACACTGAAAGTCACTAAATGGTAAAGTGCAAACAAGTGTCTTTCTGTTTCAGAATCTAAATTCTGACTCAAGGTAGAACAGGCCTTCTGTACGGTCAGAGTCCTGCTCACTTTGATGCTACCTGTGAACATCGTGGAAATCAACAAATACCTGATTAGAAGGCAGAATCCTAGGCCCCTGGGGGAGTCAGGGATTGTCCGTCTCTCAGACCATGGCCGGAGGACAGTATTTACCTGCGCGATCCGGGAAGCGGTGACGCGCAGATTCACAGGCCCCGCCCAGCCGATGTCACTCAGGGGCTCCCCGGATGGTCCCAGGCAGGCAGGCTGCGCAGGCGCCAGGACGGACAGTGGAACACGGGCCACGCTCCGGCAGCCGTGCCTGCTCCCTGCGGTCCCCCCGGTGTCCCCTGCACTGCTCCTCCTCTCCTGTCCGTGTTCACCCTGGTCCCCTCCCGATCGCTGCTCCACTCACCCGTCTGGGCCTGGCGTGGCCTCTTTCCCTTTCCTTTTACCTCTTTCTTAATGCAATTTTTATGTAAGTGTCACATATGGAAAAGTGCATAAAATAAGGTTACAGCCCAGTGAATTTTTTTCTTTTTTCTTTTCTCCGGTGAATTTTTTTCAAAGTGAACATACCCATGTAACTACATGAGTTCTCTATTTTTTAAAAATAAAATTTTATTCTAACCAAGAGTGGGTGGTGCATGCCTGTAATCCCAGCACTTGGCAGGCTGAGCCAGGAGGATCTCGAGAGTTCAAGGCCAGCTAGGTCTTCATCTTTCTCTCTTGTTTTGTTTTGGTTTGTTTTGGTTTTTGAGGCAGGGTCTCACCATGTAATGTAGACTGGCCTTGAACTCACTATGCAGCCCAAACTGGCCTTCAACTTGTGACATCCTCCTGCCTCAGCCTCCCAAGTGCTGGGATTATAGGTGTGTTCCACCACAACCAGCGTAAAATTATCATTTTTTGAGCCAGGCACTGGAGAGGCTGAGGTAGATTGTCATTTTTTCAGTTTAACTTTACTTTTTTAGGAGCAAGGCCGGTAACCATTCTGCATCAGTGCCACAGCCAAGCAGCTCTGGCGCCAGTGCCCCCTGGGCTAGAACTCGCAGGCTGGGCCTGAGGAGTGCAGCGGCCCGGCAGGCTGCAGAACCGCTGTCCCTCGCACAGCAGGGCTTCTGCGAGCCTGTCTGGCAGTTCACTGTCAACAGTATTCATTTTTAGTTTAATTGTAGGAAAACTGCGAAGTGTAATGCATAGCCCGGACACCCTTAAGGCTGGTTAATCTTTCTGGATTGTAACCAGGGTAATTTTTATCAGTGAGCCCATTTTGATTATAGCACACAGAGTCCTGGACGAGTTGCTGAAGGCTTCAAGTCACGGCATGCACAGTGAGCAGACAGACCTCGTCTTCTGCGTTTGCTGCCAGGGAGGGGGGGCGGGGCGGCGAGATCGAACATCTAAGCTGGAGGCGCTGTGGGGGAGGGGAGCGGCCCCAGGACGGGCGCAGACGCACCCTCGGCAACCCCATGAGGACAGGGCCGGGCGGCAGCCTCTGGGCCAGCTGTGCCGGGTGCTTGGGTCCTGCTGGCAGCAAGCTGAAATGACACTGTTCCAGGAACGGCCGTAAACTGAATTAGGCTTCCGTCGAGGAAACCGAGTCTAATGCAAAAGGACACAAAGCAAACCCCAGCAAATCACATTTCCTTTCCGCCCAGACTGGCTTTCTTCTCATCATTCCGAGAGGCCCTGTTCTTCAGCTTTGTAGTTCAAGTGCAGTGGCTTCCACAATCAGAAATATATCTGCGATTTCTCTGAGAATTTGGAATTTATAAAAGATGACTGTAATGGTCTCTGGTCCCCCTCTGGACTTGTGATTTTCTGCACCAAAGAATGGGGAGCAGACATCCTCATCCGTCTTGCGGCCCCGTTCATGCCCTGAATTATGAAGGGCCCTCCTCTTCTGCTTCGGTATCCCTAGATGAGGAAGGAGCCTTGCTATTTCTTGGGTACTTCTAAATACCTCATCCAACAATGAACCTTTTTAAGAGTGAAGTCGGGGGGCAGGAACACTGGGACTCTCCTGACACTTGACTGATGCTTTAGCCCCCATCCTGGACCCGAGCGAACAAGCCGGCAGCCTATTCCTGACAAATGGGGAGCCTAGAGGTAGCGTGTGGGCATCTTTCCGCCTTTTATGAATATAAATATTTAGTGCGCGGTGTTTTGCAGAATTATATCTCTGAGCCGAGATTAGCCTGGTAATGTCATTATGTAGATGCCCGGGATGAGATACCTGTGACTGCTGTGTGTCCTCTCATTCCGTGATGCCTGTGACGACTTGATGCACTTTAATTTGGCAGGGCAGTCATTAATTGCATATGAAACAGTTGGTGTTTGGCTGTAAGGGAAGCTGATTGGGTCAGTTACCGAGTGCTTGGCTCAGTGATCTACAGCTGGCTCTTAGCTCCAGCACTGCCGCTTTCTTTTCAGAAGCATTCTTGCTCGGTGTTCTGGGGACCCCCTGAGGAAGAGGCTGTGAAACATTGGGAGTTCTAATCTGTACTTTCCTTTGGGCATTATTGCTTTAATTTTAATATTTTGGATAATAAAGAATGATTTTAAATTAAATTTTCGAGTCTGCCATCTGTGATCGTTTGGACCTTTTTCTCTTCTCTGGCAGTTCTTTGACTTAATTCTCCCCAAGCGTGAGCAAAGCCAGGTTGTGAGCAGAGAGGATCAAGGAGTGGCAGAGGAACGGGTGAAACCCGCACAGTTAGAGATGCGGGCAAAGGCTTTGACCCCCCGCCTTTTACTCCGGAGGTTAATGGGAAACTTTTGACCACAAGTCAACTTGTACATGATTTCACCTTTCTGTCATCACCTTCTGATGAGACTTTGAGAAAGTAATTGCCAAAGTTATTCCTCAGTTTACCCGCCCGGTCTGTTGGCTTGTTTTTTAATGTTTACTTTTATTTTGCAGTGCAGGGGAATCCGAGCCAGGGCTTCCTGCGTCTAGGCAGGAGAGTGCTGCTGAGTGAAGTAACCAGGGAGGCACACTTATTGTTTCTGCCAGCGCTTCCTTCGAGGACAGCTGCTTGAACCCAAGGCACTGTCATTGCCCGCTGCAGGCTGAGAGGGTCTGAGGCTTGTGTGCAATTCCAGATATTGAGCTAAAGCCGAGCAATCGCTACCTAAGCATCCGTTCTTCATGCTGTCAGTGAAACCTGGGAAGAAGAATTTTCTTCCCTCCTAAGGGAAGTGAGGACTCACCCTCACCGCCACTGCAGACCATGGCAGTAATGAGCCCGACAGACAGCGCCGCTGAACACACAGACAAATGCTGAGCGAATGCCAGGGTAAGATGAAAAAGCACCTGCCAGCAGCCGGGTGGTGTGACGAGTGGGTTAGCGGGGGGAGGCGGGAGCGTGGAGCTTGCATGGCAAGGCGAGGGACTCTCCAGCCTCTGTAGAGCAGAAGGAGGCTTTGCATTTTGGGGTGAAGAATGGCAGTGCACACCCATAATCCAGTACTCTGGGAGGCTGAGGCAGGAGGAACAAGCCCAGCTTGGGCAATTTAGCCCAGATAAAAACAAAACAAACCAAAAAAAGGGGATACAGCGCAATGTAAAAATGCAAAGTCCTAGATCTGATCCCCTGCACCACATTCTGGGAGAGGGAGAGAGTTCGAGGAGCCCTCCGGGGAGAGCGTGCTGTCTGAGGAGAAGCCCTACCGAGGTCGGAGTGTGGTGAGGAAGCCTGAGGGCTGGGAAGCAGGGTGGAAGGACACAGGCCAGAGGACGTGAAGCGCAGGGGGCAGAAAGGCCGCCAGAAGAGCCCTCTGGGGCAGGCACGGGGCCCTCGGTACTGGGAGCTGCCGGAGGCCTTCGGCTGAAAGTGGCTGGGACGCTTTGGTAGCATCAGAGTGGTTTTCTTTACACCTTCTGCTCACCCTGCTGTCTCCCCTCCCTCACCCCGAGTTTTGCTTTTGTCAAATCCAGGCGGGGCTCGCAGCTACCCCTGTGTGCAGAGAAGACCAAACCCACTGCTCCAAGGCCAGAGGGCAAAGGTTCACCACACGACCTTGAAGATCAAGGGGATAATATTTACGGCGTTGAGCAGAGCAGAAGCACAGGTAAACAAGTATTCCTCATGTTTTTAAGACCTCACGTGGGCATCCTTTGTCCCACTTGACTCATCGTCCAAGAGATAAGCTTGGAGTCTCAATCAATCTCTCTCGTCCTGTTTTTCTTCTTTATTCTCTCTCTCAAACACACACACACACATTTTTTTCTCTCCCTCCTCCCCTTCCTCTCCCAAATCCCCTGTTCCCCTGAATACAATCGTGGTACCCCTCCAACAGTAAAAACAACCCCAACAAGTGCCTATGAAAAAAGCCTTTAAGACTCATGAATATTTAGCTCGTCCTCATGTAAAATATATGACTTTGTGTAAGGATCAGGCGAACGAGGGGCATGATTTTTTTCTGATTTATGGGCCTGGAGACGGATTATTCATAGCAGAGCAGCTGTGTGGAAAGATTCATCCGCTGCAAAATGTGATTGTACATCAGGCAGTGTGTGGGAACGGAGCTATGACTAATGGCTGCTTTACATATAAATGAGAAGGTTTGTGCTAGGAACTGTAAAAAAATACAATCACTCAGCTGACGGGCAGGCTCCTTATCGTGGGTGCAGGAGAGGGACCACAGGAAAGGTAGGCAGATGAATCCCTCCCCGCTTCCGCAAGGTGAGCCTGGTGGGGGCCAGAGCCAGCTAGCGAGCGGCAGGGCGGGAGAGGGCAGGGGAAGTTTGGAGAAGCAGCCGCCCCTCCTGAGCTGGCTGTAGTCAGTTCCACATCTAACTCCATCTGCCAGGCCCCTCTGTGACTTCTGAGAGTCTGTCCCTGCAGAGATGCAGCCCCGCAGAAGTGGCGGGGTCGCCCACACGTCTGGGGCCATGACTAGGCCCCATGGGCCCCTGGGCCCTGAGCTAGGCCGCAGAGGCTCCAGTCCATCTCAGAAGTCAGCCCGGCACCACGGGGGCGGCCCTCTGGAGAGGCCTCTGCGAACCAGGCCCTCCTCCACGGTCCTCCTGGCTGTCCCGCTCCCCGCCTCTTCATCTCTCTCTTCTCTCGTGGCTGAGACAGGCTGTCTAGACTCTGCAGATGTGGACAGATGTTGGGTCTGTAATTTATAACAACGGCCTCCAGAAGGCAATTCCAATTTGTTTCGGTAAGGCTTTGAGTTACAGGCAGAAAAAATATCCTGTAAATACCGTTGACTTACATGGTAACTACACCAAGGGTTTACTTAGCGAACAGTCGCTAACTACAGCATAATTACACATCCCTGCAGATTACCAGAGAATTTAGTGTCCCCGAGCAGCCAATGGCCACCAGACTGAGAGTCTGGCTTCGGAGGCCTGGGGGACAAGGGAGTTGACTGTACTTGACAGGAATTTATGCCTCTTTCTTGGGCTCATCCACGGGGCTCCCTTCCGGGGCCTTCCAGTTTTATCAGCAACCCAGGGTCCCCATGCCGTCATACCAAACCCCGAGAAGGCTGCGTGCTGTTGCCATTTTCTGCTGCAAAGGCTGTGGGTGCTTGCAAACACCCCAAACAGGCTGGGGAGGCAGCTCAGCCTAGAGTACTTGGCCCTCATTTGGCACTGGGGCTGAGCTACCCTTAACCACCGTCACTTTCTCCAAGGCACCAAGGGCTGCACAGCTGTCCAGGCCGGCAGTGAAGCTCCGGCCCACCCAAGATCAGGCTAATCCTCCTGAGGACTCTTGTGGTCCTGTGGGAAATGAGAAAGTGGATTTGTAGAATAGTTGTTCAACAACTTCAGGCCGCTTCCTGTCATCTGGGGTGGTGTGTGCCGGGAAGCAGGAGACCGACGTTAAGGCCAGCGGTCCACAGAGAAGCTCAGTGATCTGATCATGCTCGTGGCAGCAGAGGCCACATTTGCACTGGGGTCTGCCGTCCCTGAGAACTCTGACCAGCTGGTCCCGGTGGGATTAGGGGATCAGAGTTGGCTGGCAGCTGGGAGCTCAGGCTTCCTTGGATATATAGGGTTACAGCCAAAATAGCCATCAGGGTATCATTTATGTCAGCCTAGAGAGAGAGGGAAGCGGGGGGTGAGAATAAACGGGGTAGAAAAAAACGTGTAAATGAAAAAACACACTGATAGAGTTAGATACTTTTGTTTTTTTTTGAGACAAGGTCTCACTATGTTTCCCAGCTGGACTTGAAATAGTGAGCTCAAGTGATCCTCCTGCCTCAGCTTCCCAAGTAGCTGAGACGACAGTAGGTCTACGCCACAATTTGGCGAGGAGTATTGAAGATGGAACCCAGGGCCTCATATGTGCGAGGCAGGTGCCCTGCCACTGGGTACACCCCATCCCTTAGGTACCAGTTATTAACACATAGCCAACCTCTTCTAATTTATTTGTTCTGTACAAGCTTCCCTTCCCCTCTCTCAACTGTCCAGATGAAACTGTCAAATGAAACTGAAGCTTAATACACTGCTGGGCACAGATCCTGGGTTTACACAGATCTGGGGGCAGGGAGCCTTATGCCACTGAAGGGCAGATATTCTTGGGGAATACTGATGCTTTACAACTGCTGTTTACAACTGTTTTCTCTTGTTCTTCCGCTCCCCTGGCCTTGCTTATGTGATGCTTTGTATCTGTCCAACTTGAATGATACCTTACTTCACCTGAAGGAGCAGATCTGGTTTAAAATGTCAACAGAGTCACAGAACTGATCCCTAAGTGGGAGGGAAGGCCACCTAGGCCACGGGAAGGGAGTCAGGACTCTGACCCAAACTACACTTCTCGGGTGAGCGTTGGCCCGTGCCTCTGGCCTCAGACTGGCCTAGGAGAAAAGTTGTCTGCTGTCCAGCATGTGTTTAGGGAGAATTTGTGTCTTAGAAGTATCTTTGACTGCAACATCTAAAGAGACTCCTGAGGCTTACTTAATGGAGACTTTAAAAAAATAGGAGTGGGTCTTGGCTCCAAGGGTGTGCGGAGTTTTGTCCTCTGAGGGGTAAGGATGATGATAGCTGGGAGCCCTCTAGCCCCAGAGAGCTTCCCAGTCCCTGAGCCTTGTGGCAGGAGCGGATGTGGGCACCTGTCCTTCCAACCTCCAGGGCCGTGGGTAAAAGGAGGCCACCCTCTGGTCAGGGAGGACAGACTCATAGCCGACATGATTCCAGAGGCTCCTATGTTCTGGGCCGGTGTCACCTCTTCCATAACACCTTCATGCACTTGCTCTTTGAGAAAGAAAAGCATTACCTTCTTCCTCCTCTACCTCTTCCTCCTTCCTCTTTCTCTTCCTCCTCCTCCTCCTCTTCTTTCTTTTGGTACTAGAGAATCAAACCCAGGGCCTTGTGCATGCTAAACATAAGTCTGGGGCCAGGGATATAGCTCAGCAGCATAAGCGCCTGCCTGGTAAGCGCAAGGTCCTGAGTTCGATTCCCGGTACCAAAAACAAAACAAAACAAAATGAACATAGGTCTCACTGTATCGCTGACCTACAGCTACACCCTTAGGTCTGGTCTTCCTCAGGCCTTACCTTCCTTCCCCACCAGGCCTGGTATCTCAGGGTAACATGGAGCGTGGGAGGCTGTGGTTGGACAGATGGGGTCTGGATGAGGACACCTGGAGCCAGAGCCTGCCATGAGGGCTATTTTCCACACTGACCCTGAAGCTCCCAAGCTAATTGCTTGGGATAAACAGTAGAACGAGCCAGGGCTTGGGAGCCAGAAAGCCGGACTGCCTCAGTCACTTTCCTTGTCGCTGGGACCCAGTACCTGCAACCTAAAGGGGGAAGAATTCATTCTGTCTCACGTTTTAGGCTCCAGTCCTTGCAGAGCTGGTAGCACGGTGGAAGGAAAGCTGGGTGGAGGAGAGCTGTTATGCCCTGGGTTCAGGAAGCAGAGGGGACAGGGAGGAGCTGGGGAGGGCGATGCACCCTTCTAGGTCGCCCCCGGCAACCACCTCCCCTCGAGGCTGAGCCTCCTCACAGCAAGTCAGCCGTAGCCTCCAGTCCTCTGCTAAAGCCCTGTCCACGAGCACAGGAGGCACTTGGACAGCAGTAGATATAAACCCTAACTCTGGGTTTGAGTCCTGCTCTTGCTCCTTACTAGCCATTCGTTCATTCATTCATTCAGTAAACGTTTATCGAGTACCCACTGTGGGCAGGTATGTGAGGACTGGGGCAGGAAGTTGTTTAAGCTCATTTAGCTTCTGTTTCCCACTTCCAAGGCAGTATAATATTCCTAGGTTCATAATTGTTGTGATTTGGTTTGAGATGATTTGCTTGTACACAGTTGGCACTCAATAAATGCTTCTTCTTCTTATCAACAGTAAGAGCATCCCCACTATGACTCTAATAAAGGGTCTGTCATTTGCTGATGTTTTCTCCCACAGGTGGGAAGAAATTTGGGGAAAATTGTACGTTGGCCCAGAGGATCAGCTACTTCCTATGAGTGACTCTGATAGTGGTAAGGACAGAGAACTCTTCTCTGGCATGCCAGGCTTGGTACCATTGCTGTCTTATTTGCTTATCTGTCTCTCTCCCCCACGGTGAGTTGCCTGGGTGGAAAGATTAGGTCTAACAACAACCCAGCCTTGTTTAGCATAGTGGCCACAGTGCCTTTGCCAATGCCTGCCACACAAAAGCCATGCAGCAGATGTTTGCTGAATGGATGAAAGAGCAGGACTTCCAGTGCTGCAGGGACTATGCAGGCCTTTCATTTGTTCCTTCAGCAGATGTTTACCCAGAAGCTTCCATGTCCTTGAGTGTCATTCCCATCCGAGGGATACAGTGGTCAGTAAAACAGACGCGGCCCCTGCCCTCCTGGAATTGAGTGCAGAGGGTGCTAACCAAGTTGCAGGAGTCTCAGGAGGCTTTCCCAGGATGCAGCGTCTCGCCTGACACCTGAAGTGAGGGCAGCATTAGGGTTAGGGCTGTGGCTAGGGCTGGAGCACTGCTGTCATTGCTAAGAGGAGCATTCCAACGACAGGAGAGGCGTGTGGCCGGGGGCTGGCTCCACTACGGCACGTCCAGGCAGGAGCACGGGTGAACGCAGCTGCAGCGCGAGTTGGAGAGGTGGGTTCTGCACTTTATCCCAAGAGCAAGGGGTCACCGTTCCAGGGCTGGAGGCTGAGAGGCGGTAGTGGTGCGGGTCACTAGCTGGCTGAGTTGGGGGACGGACGGTTCTCTGGCAACAGACAGCAGTGACCTTGGGTGGGTGAGAGGGCCGGGCTGCCGCTGGCAACAGGGACGAGAGAGGGTGAGAAGCATGCCTGAGAATGAGGCGAAGGTGCTTGCCGGTGGTCTGGGTGAGGGAGGAGTCACGGATGACTCTAGGTTCGTAAAATTTGTCCCAAGTGTCTATCTGCTCCTTGTTTACTTTTACGAAAGGCTTTCTTGTTTGTTGGAGAGTTTGCTTTTGATAGTCATCAGAGATAGATGGATTTCCGCTCCCAGGGCACAGAGAGGTGGCTGGGGACCTGCAGGATCTGGGAGGTACCTGAGGGGCATCCTCCAGACCACCCGCCCAAGCCCACTCAAGCCGGAACACACACTTTCCCGGGCTCTCCGGCTCCTCAGACCTCTGCAGTCGTCCAAACGCTCCCCACAGACCACTCCATCCTGCCCTTATTTTCCCCGGCCTCCGAGGCCCTCCCAGCCCTCCCTGCCCTCCCTCCGCCCGGTCCTGCCCCAGACCCTGCCTGCCGCCCTCGGTGTCCCCTTCACCCTATTAAGGAACAACCACCCCACAGAAGCCCCTGCCCCCGGCGGCTGCTCCCTGAGCCCCGCCGCCCCTCCTCCTGCTCTTCTCCCTGACAGATGCCTCAGAGCCCCGGGCCGCAGTTAAGGTGACGAGATGCAGCAATTCTTTATGAACATTTCATTCCTGCTCGCTACACGACGTAAATTAGATGGTGTGTTACATTCGGGCAATAAGAGAGATATGTCACCACGACGCTGGCCCATTGGATGGAGAGGGTAATCCTGCCGTGAATTTCATTACTGCTTTTATATAGACAGAATTAGCTCGGTGACAGCGAGCCTGATTGTCTTTCACTAGGGGTTTGGCGAGGAGCGGAAAAGATTTCACCCTGATGTGCACACTACTGAGTGACCCGCTCACCAGCGGCTCTGCTGATTGCTTTGCACCTCGCAGACGCTGCAATTGGCTCAGCCTCTCGCCCGCCTGCCACCCGCCCGGCCCCGGCCCTCCCGCCTGGCTCTTTCTTGAAGCAAGAAGAAAGGAGGCCTAATGGAGGAGTCACAAGGTCACGAAGGGAAATGTGCGTGTGGGGAGGGCCACGCGGCAGAGCTGAACACAAAAACAAAAACAGCTCCTCTCCAGGCAGGGTCTCTGGGCTGGGGGCTGTGGCCGCTCACACAGCCCCCGAGGAGTGGGCAAGAAGGCCCAGGGTCAGCAGCTCAGACTCCGAAGCCGTCGTCTGCTTCCTGTCCCTTGGCCTGTTCTGCCTCTGGGTCCTTCCCCTGAGGTGGCTCGAGGTTCCTTTCTTGCCTCCTGACCAGAGAGAGTTGGGAAAAGTAAGAACGAGAGTGGCTGTCATCCCCGGCCTGTGGGCCCAGGGTCCCCAACAGGAAGGCAAGGCAGAAGAGTTGGTTCTTTCTGCTCACTTCTCCCGTTGCTGGGTGGTGTCCAGCTCCCGCCCCGGGCCAACCCTTGGCAGGAACGCCCCATCTTTAATAGGACTGAGGTGGCTTGACCCCAGTGGCCTACAAGCAGGCCCTGCCCAGGGATCTTCTTCCCCCAGTCTGTTTCTGCGGGCAGGGGGCCGGGAGAGCCAGGCCCCTGCCTGTTCCGTGGCCGCGTCCTCTCTCATCAGGCCCACTCCCTCCCTCACCTCTGGGGCTGGCCGGGAGGTGGACAGCGAGGCTTCTGCTGAAGCCCTCTCTTCCCAGAAGCCCCGAGCGAGCCTCTCCTGGGATGCAAGGCCAGGCAGCACGCAGACAGCATAATCTCCTCAAAGTGCCTTGTCTTTTGGTCAGTCTGACACATCTGTCAAGAAAGCTCCTTTTGGGGGCCAGAGGCGCCTGCGCTGTGGCTTCTCTGCTGGGAGGGATTAAGGTCAGTCTCCACAGTACTTTCCAGCGGGAGGGGCTTCCTAGGCCCCTGCAGAGCTCAGCGTGCCCTGTGGCACTGTCTCTGCACCCTGACTGGTCTTCTGGGAACAGCCAACCGGGCTCCCCTCCGAGGCCCCTCCCAGCCCCAGCTGCCTCTCCTGCCTGCAATCTGGGAGAAGGTTCCCTCAGAGATGGGCTCCTGCGGGCACACGTGGGAACCTCACGCCAAAGCCCGTCTTCACCCAGCTCAAGGGCAGCCCTAGGAAGGCCCAGCTGCCTTCCCCTAGCTTGGGATAACTCCGAAGGGCCTTCCAGCTGCAGTGCCCCTGTGGCCAGTTAACGTCTTCTTGGAGACTGCGGCACAGCTCAGCTTGTTCCTCTGCCTGTCCCGCTCCCCCGTAGAGCTCCGGCATGGAATTCTCCTTCTCAGTGTGCTTCCAGATCTACCCTGGGGACACGGCCTGCTCTGCCTGCCAAGCCTACCACAAAGATGACAGTCTTGAGCCATGTCGTGCTGAGAAATGCATGGCTGGTGATCACTGTCACCTTTTGTGGAGAGGCCTGGTGTCCTGGGGTTAGGGACTTCGGCTACAATGTCCAGTGAATGAACACCCAGCTTTCTTATTTCACCCCTAGGACAAGGTCTTTTGCATTTTGTCTTTTATGGTCTGGTTAGAATAATCCTCCCAAAGGCCAGACTTGTTGCTCAGCAAACCTAGCCATGTTTCAGAAGATTTAGGGGTTCCAACGGCTGTTACCCACACCTCCCTCTCTGCCCTAAGCAAAAATCAACGCGCTGCATGCCCACTGGACTTTCCCTCCTGCTCTCTCTGCAGGCGTTGCTGGTTGGCTCCCTGTTCTTTAATTGAAAGCACACACTTTTCTCTCATAGACCAAGCTCCCGTCCTTCCAGCTGAGGCAGACAGAGTTCTCGCAGGAGGCCTGAGAGCAAGGTTTCCTCCACTTTGAGCCAAGACTTTCTTCTGGGCCTTGTTGACAGATGGTCTAAATGAAGTCTAGGCTCTCTCCCTCCAAGGGGACAGCGGAGATGGGCACGGAAGCAGTGACTGTAACTCTTCACTGTCTGCCATACTGCTTTTCTGCTGGGCTCCCAGCCTCGGCAGCATTTTGGAGGGGTGGCTGGTGGAGGCTGGTACCCGGTGAACGAGACCTCCGAGCTGGTGCCTGCTTCGGCTTGGGCCCAGAACTGTGCTCCTCAAATGAGCAGAGCCTCTTCTGGAGCCTTCCCCTCGAGGCTGCAGACACCACGCTGCAGCTGGGAGACAGAGCTTCTCACCCCACCTTCTGCCTTCCTTGACGTCTTGGGCCTCGCTTCCTGACACTAATTGGTTGCCTGGGAACCAAGTTCCGTAAAGAGTGTGGTGACTGGAAGGACGGGAGGAACAGGCCCTGGAGCCGGCCCTGCCACCAAGAACACACAGATCCCTCGGGAGGGGCAGCCCTCCCCGGCCCTCTCCGGGGCTGGTGCTTGCATAGAGTTGAGTTAGCGGCAGGGGAAAATGCCCCAGGCATCGCGCTGATTTCTCATCTTGCACGGACTACCAGAGGTAGATGTATTCTTCACAACACCCTTCCTTTCCTGTCCCTGAGAGGTGGTCTTGGTGCAGAGCCAGAGGTCTTCTAAGGGTGAAGATCAGCCACTGACCCAGAACAAGTAGGTACCAGACGTGATACAGCCGCTCTCCTCCACTGCCAGATAGGAAATCCTCTCTTCTGAGACTGTCTTCCACTAGCCCTCTGCACATCACACACATGCATGTGCACACACTTGTGCGCTCACACTACACACACACACTCCCCTTACCACCCGCTCTGGAGCCGGCTCACTCACTCATTCACTCATTCATTCTACAAGCACTGACACACCTCTGCGGCGCAATAGACCTGTACCAGGCCTCGGGCAGCGGTGGGGGGCCTATGGCCTGCACGCTGCAGCGGGCACGCAGAGCCCTCTCTGCCAGCACATGAGCCAAGTCACCCTAGCATCGCCCCAGTCACTGGCCATCGGATATTCAGGTTCAACTGGAGTGCAGTAAATGAGTGGGCTTGGAGTTGCAGTTTGGTACTTGGTCCTAGGGACACCTTGGGAGCTGACAGGCCTTGTGCTCACGGGGCTCGCGGTCACGCCTGGTACCTCACCCTTCCACACTCGCATGTTCATCCCTTACCAGAGTGGCTCTGTGTTCTTCTCCATTCCGCTTCCCCAAATGTGAGCTCTCTAACTGCTGGTGGGGTAGGGGGGCAATTTGCTTGTTATCCCCTTTACTCATGGCTTTTCCAAGAGGACACCCGCAAGCCTGTTCGCACCCACCCTTGATTGACACTAACCCCTGACATCTGGGTCCCCCCAGACTTCACGTCACCCCTTGTTTTCTAAGTAAAAATCACAGGAAAGAACTCTCAGCGTGAGCCGGGATTCTCTCCTCTGCTTTCGAGACCGGGACAGAGGAATAGGTAGATTTTGAGAGAAGGAGACAGAAGTTGAGGACAAGGCAGAAAGGTGTCCTGCAGTGCGTCCGCAGGAGCCCCCGCGCCACACAGACGCGGGGCTGCTCCCAGGGTCTGGTCCTGCCTGGCACAGCACGTGTTGTCCAGCCATATCTAAGCTGCCTCCTGAACGGGCCAGGGCAGGGGTGTGCGCATGTGCGCTATTGTACCTTGGAGGTGAGTGCAGGTGTGCTCAGTGGAGGGGTTTAGGGGGATGGCTCTATGTGTGTTTTTTCCAAATGCTTGGCTTTTTTCAAAATGGCTTAGAGCAGTACTGTCATTTATGGGGTTTAAAATGTCAGAACAGGGCCCGCGGGGAGGCAGGGGAGATTAAACTGCAAACAGTGAAGGTTATAGATGACGTTTCTGATAGGCTGACAGGCGAGCTCAAATGATGCTGCACTTTGGCAATCGTTTAAACACACACAGACACACACACACGCATGCACACACACGTACACACACGCACCGCAGTCCATCTCTGTATTTTAATGGCATATTCTGAAGGCTAAAAACAGTCTCAGGTCTAGAAAACCACAGCTCTGCTCTCAGAGCTTGCCCAGAAGCTCTCCAAGGCGTGTGTGTGTGTGTGTGTGTGTGTGTGTACACATGTTCACTCAAGTGCACCACCTATGCAAGGTGAACACGTGCTTGTTTGTTGCTCTTTTTATTTACTGTATACATTGGTTCCACCTCACTTTCACGTGTGCCCTATTAATAGGGTAATTGTGTAATGAACAACACACGTCACATCCCACAGTCTATCTGAGCATGCCGATATGTAGGAGCAGGTAGGTGCCCATTTCATGGATGTAAACAAACTGAGGCTCCACAAGGTCTGATGGGGCCGAGACCACCCAGAAAGGCAGCAGAAGGTCTTTTGTTGTTGTCCAGAGCCCTTTTCCCAAGATGTGCTCCCAACACTGGGTCCGCTTTAGAATCCGCTGGGGGGGCATTCTGGTCCCCCCCGCTTGCAGAGGGGACCCTGTGCTTCTGGACCCAGTGCTTGTGCTGTGCTGCTAGAGCCCTGGAAGCTCTGGTGAGCTGAGCGCCACTGCTCCAGGGCTCGAGGCCAGGTCACCGTGGGCTCCTCGAAGCCTGCCTTCACCTCTCGTCCGGGAGACTTCTTCCTGGGAGTCTGGGGCCTGCATTTCCCCCGAGCCTCTTCCCGCCATCCCACTCTCTCCCAAGATCTGGAGACTTCAAAGTCTTGCTCAGCTTGGCTCTGCTCAGGCTGCCAGCAAGGGGTACCCCTCACAACCACCACCCTGGGGAGACTGCATTGTCTTCCACCAAGAGAGAGGGAGGAAACAGCCCCACCCAGCCCCGTGCTGGGAGAGGGGCGGAAAGGATCACAGTTGTGCTGGTCTAGGCGAGAGGAAGGGAGGGAAAGGAGAAGGGGGACAGGGCTAACACGGCTGGATCTCCTGGCGCCAGCCTCAGGAGGGTGAGGCGGCATGGCACAGAGGCACAGACGCGGTAGCGCCTGCCCTGCTGTGAACCCCCGTTCCTAGTTACGTGAGTCCGGGCCTGTACTAGCCTCCCTGTACCTCGGTTTCCCGGTCTTGCAGGTGGTGACTATCTCCTCCCTGCCTCACAGAGTCTCTGGGAGGATTCGGGGAGGTCGCTAAAGCCCCTGAGAGGGCACAAGTCTGACGGAGGAGTGGAGCTCTGCTCTTCTGCTGTGAAGTCCCCCTCACTGACTGGGAGCCCCCTCAGAACCCCTGGCTAACCGCTTCTCTGCCGTCCTTCCGAGGTGGGATTCCCGGCCTTCTCTGAGTCAGTCAACAGAACTTGGCTCACGCCCAGGAACCAGGCCTACTTGGTCCGAGGTGGGGCCTGGATGCTGGTGTTTTTCAAGTCTCCCCAGCGACTCTGACTAGATGCCAAGGCTGAGAACCTAGCTTCTGAGGACTGATGGTCGAAGGCCCTCCCCAGCCTCTCCTCACTTGTCAAAGTAAACTGTCTCTTTCCTGTGACCTCAACCACCCCCGTCTGCGGGTAACTCTCAGAGCCATACACCCTGACCCCTGCACACTCATTCCAGCTCA